GTAGTTTACACACCTTGCCTTTCATTTCTTTCCCATACACCCCTGGTGGTAGAGACATATAGACTTCTTCATGCAGATCTCCATTCAAGAAAGCATTTTTAAYATCAAACTGRTRTAGGGGCCAGTCAAAGGTAGCTRCTAGAGAAAGCAAGACCCTAACTGAAGTCATCTTAGCTACAGGAGCAAAGGTCTCAAGATAGTCAATGCCATACAATTTGGTGTAACCCTTGGCAACCAACCTAGCCTTATACCTCTCAACCGAGTCATCAGAGTGATATTTAATGGTAAACACCCATTTACACACCACTGGTTCCTTCCCTTCTGGCAAGTCCACAATATCCCAGGTATGGTTCTTATATAATGCTTCAAGTTCAGTCTTCATAGCATCCCTCCATTCAGGTTGAGATAATGCTTCCGGTACAGACCTGGGTATCACATGTGAAGAAATAGAAGCAAGAAATGAGTAGTAGGAAGGAGAGAGAAGGCTGTAAGATAAATGTTTGGAGATGCAATGGGCTATACACTTCTGCTTGCCCTTGCGAAGAGCAATAGGAAGGTCAAGGTCAGGGACGGTCGAAGGTGGGTTGATAGAGGGCTGACCTGTTTCCTCAGGAACTATGGGAGTGGAAAGATGCTCTTCTGAAGAAGTGGAAACAACATGCATATGTCTGAATCTCCACCTTTGGTAACACCTTTGGAGAGTAGGAGCAGAAGCAAGAGGAGGATCAAGGGTGGGTCCAGTGGAAGAGGTGGACACCCCATAATCAGACTCAGAAGGGATGGGAAGAGGAACAACTGGAGACATAGCAATGGGTTCATCAGATGTCTCCCCCTCAGGAGGAATACTAAAGAAATGAGTCAACTCTGCAAAGGTGACATCCCGAGATACAAAGAGGGTGCCACGAACTGGATCAAAACAACAATAACCCTTTTGTGTAGAGGCATATCCCAGAAGCACACACTTATGAGCCTTAGTTTCAAATTTATGCCTTTGGTGGCTATGAATATGCACATAACAAGTACTCTCAAATACACGAAGAGGGAGAGAAAATAGATCCTCATCCGGGAAGAGAAGACTGAAGGGGGTTTTAAAGCCAAGGACCCTGGAGGGCATACGGTTGATTAGGTAGGTAGCAGTATGAACAACATCTCCCCAAAACYTTACATGAACATGGGATGCAAATAAAAGGGATCTGGCAACCTCAACCACATGTCTGTTCTTTCTTTCCGCCACCCCGTTTTGTTGTGGAGTGTAGGAACAAGAACTTTGATGAATAAC